GAGGTCCCCTTCCCGCTCGTCGCAGTCCCGCAGAGCCCTGTGCGCTTGCCTCGGTAGGCAGAGAGCAGAAACGGGGGTGTCGGTGTCTCCCTGCCCGCCCTTCAATAAGGGAGTCACTGCGTTATAGTTCATGAACAGAGCTGATGGTACAGAGAAGTGGGTGGCCGTCACACCCAGGGCAAGTCAAGAGGATGAGGCCAGTCTCTTCTCCGTGGTGCCCAGCAACAGGACAAGAGGCAATGGGCAGAAACTGAACCACAGGAAGTTCCACCTAAACCTGAGAAAAAAACTTCTTTCCTGCGAGGGTGACAGAGCATTGGAACAGGTTGCCCAGAGAGGTGGTGGAGTCTCCTTCGCTGGAGATAATCAAAAGCCGCCTGGATGTGATCCTGGGCAATATGCTCTAGAGGTCCCTGCTTGAGCAGGGAGGTTGGACTAGATGATCTCCAGAGGTCCCTTCCAACCTAAACCATTCTGTGATTCTGTGAAGTCTAATATTGCTGGGGACATCTGCGCAGCTGCATAATTAACTTTCTTTTCCATAGTAAAAAAAGTATTAAGTTTTTGCTCTTACTACAAGCATTATCTATGCCAGGGAGTAGTTGGGGAGAAGAAGTTCTGAACACCTGTGGCCTTCTTTTGAATCACAGGTCTGTGCTGTAGTGCCTGGGGTGACTGTGCAGAGGGCACTTTGCCGCTCACTGCCCTGCAGGAGCAGACTGGAGGATCCTGAGGAGCATGAAAATCTGAAAGTATGGAGCTCTTCGCTAGACTAATTTGCTTAACCGCTGCACCTTGGTACAAGAGGAACACAGAACTGAGTGGTCCGAAGAGAAAATAAGTAGCTGTTTGTGAACAGCCAAGGTAAAGAAAATAAATTGTAGCACGCAGCTACAAAATCTGTATATGCTATCACAATACTAAAATCGAGGTCGTAGGGATAGTGTGGTGTGTTTGCAAAGCTCCTGTGGAGGTCCAAATTAGATAGCCTTCATACCTTGCTTTATTAAAGCTGTGGATGTTGCATACGGTATCCTGCTCACTCACATTCTCCCTCTCTCCTTGTTTTCCACATTCAAGAAGAACCCAGTACACCCAAGGATGTGCTTCTACTGGCAACAGATGTAATCCTGGTAGGAACATCCCCTCTGTTGATGAGGTTTGTTTTCTCTTTTCTCAGAGACGTGACTGTGATCGTGGGGAAGAAAGAAATTCTTTCCTTACTCCAGACTAGCCTGTTAGTAATCCACATGCTGTCTGCTTTATGCTGAGCTGCCATAGCATGTCTGCCATAGCAGCAGTGTGTCAGTGGTAATCAAACCAGACATTTTTGCAGGTTGAGGAAGGAACTCTTCCTTGTACCTTTTCTGCGTGCTTAGATGTTTACTCTGGTGGTTGCTATGGGACGTTTAGTTAGATGCCGAAATTGGGTAGCAGCACTTCTGAATACAAGCACGTGTGGAGGGATTTGCTTCTCCCAAGTTCCTGTTTGCTGACAGCTTTCACAGAGAAGCCCTGCTGTTGGTGGTTAGCTGCCTTGGGGAAAGGTCCCTGTGTGCACAGGGTCTTGCTTTAAAGCAGAGCTGGGCCATGCTGGTACATGATGCAGCATGGAAACAGCTTGGCTGGCTTGTACTACTGAACTGTCAAGCAGTTACCAGTAGCAAAACATCTCAGTAGTGGCAAAGTCCTTAGAGTGGTAGGGCTGCAGTTTGCAGTGTTTGTGTGCACCAGAGCCGATCTGTCGAGTTAGTTGATTGCAACTGGAGCTGGAGTAGTTGTCCAGAGTATAATTTTCCCTTGGCTCAGCCATAAATAAACAAAGGTTGGTAGCTTGAAGCAGAGTTCAGAGAGTATGTTTTTGAAGTGATGCTTAGTGGCATTTAGGTAACTAAAGATAAAAGCAAAAAAAAACCATATTGCTTAAGAAATTTGCACTGTGGATATTTCAAGGTTTTTTTTAAGTGCTTTAAAAATATTCCTCTACGTGGTATCAGCTGTAGCTGTGATTCACTTCAAACTCCAGTCCTAGATTCATCTGCTTGGTTTTCTTTTGCCTGCCCTCTTTAATTCTTCCTTTAAAACAATGTTTTTTTTCTTACAATTGTATTTTCTCTGTTTGGCGTTTTCTCTGCAGTAAGTGCCAGTGCCTACCCTCCTCATGCTAACTGCTATTGCTTGCTGCTTGGCTGATTTGGGCCTTAAAATAGGAAATACTGAAGGGAAAATTCCTCATCTTTCACACTGATGGAATTTGTAAGATCCCTCTGCCCAACAATTGCATTTGTGGCAGTTGTTGGAACTCAGCAGGGTTGCTAAGCAAAGACTTGGTAGAGTCCTATCTGAGTAGACAGCACTTCATATCTCATATTTTATAGGCTTTTGCTGGCGTTTGTCTCAGCCTGAGAGGGAAAGAGGAAAGAGATGAGGTAATAAGAAAGGAAACCAGTTTCTGGAGATGAAAGACTCATTTTCCATTTAAAATAATTTTAGGAGACTAATTAGCCTTGTGGCTGCCGCATTACAGAAATGTCTCCAATTCACCTGTACACGCAGATATGGTTGATTTTTGCTGTTTCCTTACATGTATATCTATGATTGCTGTCAATCAGTGCTGAGTCCTGCACATTTGGTGTATGTCCTAATATATATCATTTATCTGAAGAGAGGCAATCTAGAATCTCCTTTAGGAAAGAAAAAATATATGACATCAGATACCTCGCTAGTCCAT